AATATGGGCGAAATTCAATAAAAACGGATTGATCCCGAAGAAACTGTGGATACAGGGTGTAAGGGGCGAGAGGATCATCACAAAGTTAGTCAAGTATTTTCCAATTGACCTCTTATCAAGATCTCAATACTGCAAGGACTACCAAACTAGCAATAAGAGATGCGCGAAATGTCAAACTTCTAAACTATCGCAAGGGTCACGTTTAAACTCCCGCTTAATTTCCTGGCACAACAAAAGCTGAGTTTTTACGAACAGCATTTAGTTTTTGCTTGCCCTTTCTTCATCATTGTAAGCCTTTCTAATAGCGTTCAAATTCGCCAAGATCTCTTCCACTAAAAGAATTAGAAAAGTGCGATCGTTCAATAAACCAGCCGGAAAATTTGCGGTTTGCAAGGAAATTATAAATAGAACCAATAAAAGTCTGAAAATCTAAGTAAGAGGACTGGTTGGATTTGCTTCCAAAAGTTGATGTTGATGTGACTTTCTTGTAACTAAGTTCTTTTACATTACTTTGGTATGGAACAGATGCTACATTCAGACCACAATTTGGCGATCCGGTTTATATGGCAACTAATAACACAAGGGGATGCACTGCTTCTTCCTGCCAAAGTGTTGTAGTTAGTAGCATATGTAATACTACAACTGGTCTTTGTCAAAGTGAGTCAACTTTAACATAAGGAGTGGATGTACATGCTCTGCATCGGTGTTCTTCAATTTGTAAATTATCTAACAACTTTCTAGAAAGCGAAATGACTCCAGCAATCAGGACCAGGATGCTCCAAATGCACAACTGGCGCAGGTGAAGTTAAAAACTCTGCCTCTTATATCAAATGAATGTAAGAAACGTGTGCTTTGTTAGGTCAAACTCCTACGAACATTCAATAGGGGGCATAAGAAATTGGAGGAAATGATGAATAGCACATTTTCCTGGATTAGCAAAATAGTTTGCTTGTCATGTATCACTTTAAGAATAATTTGGCTCCATTCTGAGATATCTTGCGTAAGCTCATAGCAGTACACTAGACGTTCTTGATGATTTTCTGAAGGGTTCAAAACATGTCAGCATAAATACTACACATTTGCATTTTTAAAGGGCCAGAAAACGCAGTG